AATCGCCTGAACATCAATCTCAATTGTCAAGCCATCCTTCATTCCCTTTCTCTCTAAAAAACCCTCCTCCGCTCTGAAAGCCGCCCACTCTCCTTGTCTATCTGCGCTCTTCCATTTGAAATTTCCAACTCCTCCAGTGCACTCACCCTCTAGCTTTCTTTCACTCCCCTGGGTGAGAAGAACATCTTGACCAAACCTGGGCCAAATATATTAGAACGTGATTTTATTAAACATTTAAAGAGCTTGAATCTTCTTATTTATCTTCAGAGGGACCTGAAAATTTGGAACAGAGACGCACATCTGTGAGCTGCTTTAAAAGTCAACCAATTCGGAGCATGTTTTTTTTTTTTTTAAGTATGTTTATTGAGATTTTTTGATATAAGGAAAAAAAGGGACACACAAAAAACAAAAAAACAACAGACAACACAACAGCAAGGGCTAAATTACACTGCAAAGACAAAAATACTACTTCAACACTGGCAATAAACAGAAATAAAACGCTAAGGTGGTAGGCTAAGTTATTGGTGATCGATCAAACAAGACTTTCACAAAACCAGAAACCAACTTTTTAGAATCCGGGGAACTCAGAAGGAGTGTAAAAATTGACCCCTCTTCCGAAAGAAATGGAAAATTAAGAATACTCTGACGAACATAGTTTCTTATCTGTAAATAATGAAAAAAATGTGACGCAGGGAGAGAGAACTTGTTTTGCAACTGAGTAAATGATGCAAACTGCCTGTCAATATATAAGTCTTTGAGAGTAATAATACCTTTCTGTGTCCAGACCTCAAAAGAGACGTCTAAACATGAGGGTGGAAATGCATGATTACAATATATTGGTGTATGGATTGAAGTGTCTGGTAGAGCACAACCTTTTTTGATCTGACTAAAGATTTTAATGCAGTTCGAAACTATAAAATTATTGACCTTGGTTCGCGGATTAGAGGACGAAAAAAGAAGAGCAGGGAGGGAACTATTCTCAACCCCACCACTCTCTATGACCACCCAAGGTGGGGTATCGGCAGACATGACCTTTTTGTACCCTTCCTGCCAGTAAGCAAGAGTTCTAGCATTTGCAGCCCAATAATAAAACTGAAACAATGGCAGAGCAAATCCACCCTTAACTTTAGACCTACATAGATGAACTTTTGATATCCTGTGAGCTTTAAAGCCCCAAACAAATGGTAATACTACTGAGTCGATCACTTTAAAAAATTACTTATTCAAAAAAATAGCTAAGTTTAAAAATAAATAAAGAAATTTAGGAAGGGAAACCATTTTAATTACATTAATGCGACCTACCATGGAAATAGGGAGAGCCCTCCATTTCTCAATGTCCTTTGTCAATTTTTCAACTTGTTCAAGATAATTCACCTTGAAGATCAATTTAGGATCCTTAGGCAAAATAACACCAAAGTATTTCAATTTGTCTGTAATTTTAAAAGGCAAAATTTTCAAAAAATCAACATCCAAGTTTGCAGTTAAAGCCACAAACTCACTCTTCTGCCAATTAATTGTATAACCTGAGATTTCCCCAAACGACCTCACCACATCTAAAAGTACAGGAACAGATCGCTCAGGATTTGACAAGAACACAACAACATCATCCGCATATAAAGAAATGTAGTGCTTGATATTCCCCAATCGGACAGGGTCAATAGAGGGCTCATTCCTAATGGCTACTGCAAGAGGTTCAATAGAAATTGCGAAGAGCAAAGGGCTCAAAGGGCAGCTTTGTCGTGTCCCGCGGTGTAAAAAAAAAGGCGCTGATCTATCTTGGTTAGTAAGAATGGAAGAAGAAGGATGCCTATATATCATATCAACCCATGATATAAACTGTTCGCCTAAACCAAACTTCTCCAGGACCCGAAGAGAACCCGAAGCGTATAGGCCCACTCGACCTGATCAAACGCCTTTTCAGCATCTAAGCTCAGAACTGCGATCTTGGAAGCTCCCCAGTGCCTATGATACATAATATTCATCAATCTTCGAACATTAAAGAAGGAAAACCTCTGGGGAACAAACCCAGTTTGATCCAGATGGATAATTGACCCAACACGTCCATTTAATCTGTTTGCCAAACTCTTAGTGAAAATTTTCATATCCAAATTCAACAAAGCAATAGGTCAATAACAAAGAAATATTAGCTTCATATAGCATACGGGGAAATGCTTGAGCATGTTTTTTTGTTGTTTTTTCCTTATTTACTTGTGTGACTTCGGATTGTCTTGGCCTTTCTCTCTCTTTCACCCACTACCTCGCTTGTCAGAGAAAATAAAATCTCGACCGAGACCAACTGAGCATGCCACATTACATTCAACTTAGTTCCCTTGTCTCTCCCCATGTAAGACAAACTCAAAAATAATTTGCACACACTTTACATTTTTTGTCTCTGAGAATAAACTGCGCATGAAGAGGAAGGGGGCGCAGAGGGAGGCAATCTTGTTACCAGCCGGCATAGCCCTGGGAAGATTTCTATCAGACACACGTATAGAGAGAGGCATCCATTTAGAAAATGGCTTTTCTAGGCATGCTGGGCCATTTAGCACACCCTGTGACGACTCCTGTTTGGGGCAATGATAAATGTTCTTTCGCACCCGGCCTGTGCACACAGTCAGGCCACCGCATACACATGCACGCACAGCCATATGGGCACCCCACGCAAACCATCGCCAGGCAGACGCAGCGTTTTCAGAAGAGAGTGGCTTCACTGGGTTTGGTCCACAGAATAAACTCGAGTCACCGCCAGTGGAAATTAGTTTAAATCCACAAAACTTAAATCCTACTGAGCATTTAACGTCATGTCAACACCACTTTGCGGCTTTAGGAATCATTAAGTTCAGGTTCATTCAGCTATACATGCTGAATGAGTTTTATAACGAGTAGTAATATGACAGCCTTTTTTGGCCATTTCCAACATTTAGTGAAGAAAAGAATGGAGTAATTTAACAATAATCAGAAATCCAAAACAAAACACAATCCAACAAATCTAAGGGGGATATTGCATCAGGAACATTGTGTTGCAGGTCATTACTGACGGAAGTGATCGGGTCATGACAGCCGTCCAAACTGCTAGTTAAACCCGAGCCATGGGATAAAACAAATTGTCAGTTTTACAGCCTTCCTCCTGACAGAGACATTACCCATGAAGTAACAAACGTGTTTGTGTGATTTATGGCAGCAGCATTTCTTTTCAATGACAGCAAACAGACTGAATGTGAAGAAAAGTGACTTATTGCTACAGCTGAACTGCACTAAATGTGAATGTTTTCTGTCTTTACACTACAAGAAAGTGGGGAAATGTGGAGGGTTTTTATTGGTTACTTTTCAGTGGATTTACAGATCCGGCCAACTTGAGATCAAAATTGGCAGCAAATTATCACCAAAATGCACAAACAGTTATTTATTTATTTATTTATTTTAAAGAGGGTAGTACTTTAGTAGTTTATTAACCTTTTAGATCAGTTAAAAGGGTGATCGGCTACTTTATACGTCGAGAAAACTCTTCAAACTCTTTAGCTGAAAAAGCCTTTCTCCACCCAGTTTATCCCCAGAATGCATCTACACCACATTTAAATCAATACTGTTTTAAAAATGACAATATTCTTGAGACACAATACATTTTTCAGATACTTTGACTTTCAAACAATGAGTCGCCTTATTTTTACAGTCTACTGCCTGTGTAGATATCCACACTGCCCAGTGGGAGCAACAAAAAAGCAAAAGGCAAATATTTTAGCAGGTAAACACTCTCTCTGTGTTTTGTTTACACTGGATGAGTGCTAAAAATCAACCTGTCTCTATCATGCTGTCTGAGTGCGCGCCTGATATCCACTAATGGTCATTACCCTTTACAGCAGCACGATTTCTGTCAGCTTACTTCCTCCTCTCTGGGATCCATCAGTGTCGCCACTATACTAACAGCTGTCATGGAGGCTGAGATCTCTCAGCTCAGCTCCAACCACAAGTAAAAGACTCATCATCCAGGTTTTTATGTGATTTATAGACACAGAAATATGATTCATATGTAATTTTGCTGATAGTTCACTATGCTAAATACTGATAAGAATATAACCAGACAGGTATAATTATGTTTAAGTTAACCAATATAATAATGTGAAAATACAGCAACCATTCTAAGGGCAGGCCTAACTGAAAGCCTGTGTAGAAACGGCCTTAAGAAATATGAGGGTGTGTGTGTGTGTGTGAGGAATGACGTGCCACAGCGGACGCTCTGATCTCTGAATGTCTGACTTTAAAAATGTATGATTTAGATATCTATCTAAAAAGATAGATAAAATTTACCAGATGAAGAAAGGGAAGACGTTGGGATGATTTCGAGGCAGTCAGGACTGGGCGAGCCCCCTCACCCTCATCGGCTTCATCTGAACTCTGCGTTACGTACTGGGTAAGACTCATAGGATCAGAGGCTAGGACCTTTTTAACAGAGAGCTGAACCAGACTTCCTATAAAGGGGTCGTGGGCCCTGCAGATCAACATTGCTATCGCACTAACCACTGTTGCTGCTGGAATTAAAGCCACAGGCTCCATACTGGCTGGATGAATCATTCTCATCTACACAGCAGTAATGAAGCATTTATTTCAGGGTGAATTACAAACTCTGGAAACGTGGCCAACACGCACACGCAGCACAAATATGATGAAACTGTGTCAGTCACACTATGCTAAACCATCTGCCTATCACAGGACAGACATGTGGTGCAAAAAAACAGAAGGAAAACCGCAAAACACTAAACTGGGAGGTAGACACTTAAATATCCAACACCACTCAATTTTTTAAATGCATATTTCAAATTAAACGAGCAATCAATCTAGAGGTTACTAGAGGTTAAGGGGGATCTGGCCAAAGGAAAATTCTTGACAGCAAAAGATGATTTGGAAAAAACGCAGTCATCTCCACTCGTGAAGTTATGTCACGCTAATATAGAAGATCACTTCTTCTATATTATCTCACTTCATCACTCAAGTCAACACAGTACCTTAAAGATATCCACACCCTCACGCTGGACCTTGAAGAGGAGTGCAATCATACTGATTAATAATGCAGGAAAATGCTGGGCGTCACATGCAGACGTGACGTCGACTTACCGATCTCATCTGCTGAGCTCCGGTGACGTGCTGCAGAACCTTTTCCAGCTCCTTCTCAATGCGTCCAGCCCAGTGAATCATTCTGCAAAAGTAAAGTTAAGACATTTTCAACATTATCATTTCAACATCATCACAAAAACTTTCATTTCTCTACCACTGCGTATAAGTGAGTGCATTTGCAAGACGGCGGCAGTGTGTGGCTCTCTTTCTGCTGGAAAACTGCCACACTCTGCCCCTTTTGGGATGCCTGTCTAGAAGTATCACTATCCTATCGCCAGTTAATGTCTGGGTTGGTCATCAGCATCTTCTCTCCCCATCACATCTTGCATGTATGTGTTCCGTCCAGTTCCCGGCAGTGTACGTGCCTGTCTACGCTCGGCTGGGATCAGCGGTTCTACAATAAAACTGCTCAGGTCTGACAGAAGTGCAGCCTAAGCAGGAGCTGATCTCCGTTAGACGGAGCCAAGTTTGGAATTAAGAGATCAAACGGCTGGAGCTCATCACTGTATATCTCTCAGCAAGCAACAAATGACTTAATGGATGAAGATTTTTACCAGATCACTTTAGAGGAGCAGCAGGGGCCAACCTGCCAACCAAGATTCATGCTGAACAACTCATGTGAAAAGCCAACAAGAAATTTTCACAGAAAAAAAGGAGAACAAAAAAAAAAACCTATTATGAAAGCTCATCTTTCAGCAATCAGATGAATAAATTATGCCATGTGTTTGCTAGCCAACCGCTGATTCCATGCCAACCTTTTTCCTTTCAGCAGCCTGCAGATAGCTAATCACTAGCATCAACAACACAGCCGTTTGTCTTTTAATATGATGACGGAGACAAATGTCATCTTTAAATGTCAGATTTGCTCTGAAGACAAGAGGGGAGACAGATTTATTAAATTGCACAAATCTGCCAAGTAGTGACAGCGCCCGCCATAATCACCAAGCCAGAGCGGGCTTCATCAAGCGAGTAACAGCAGAGCAAACACGCCAGCGAGTGTGCAAGTTCCCTGTGTTTATAGGGACCGTGATTAAAGGAAAGCAAGAGGGCCTCTAAAAGGAGCAGAGAAGGGGGGGGAAGCTGTGACTATAAAAAGGTCATTCAATATGAAATGAAAACAAGTTTACAGTGAGAACAAAGCTGAGCAGGACACAGTGATACTAACAGTGAGGGACAATACCTCTGTCCCCGAGCCAGGAAGACTTCTTACGCAACCTCTTTAGTGTGGATACTACACACAACATCATAGATAGATAGATAGATAGATAGATAGATAGATAGATAGATAGATAGATAGATAGATAGATAGATAGATAGATAGATAGATAGATAGATA